TCTCTCAGCTCTTTTCCCATGGGCCTAGGCAACCTCTGGCTCACTGTTGACTGAGAGTCAGGCTTCTGAAACATTTTCCACTTCTGACCCATTTTCATCTAAGAAACTTTCTTTTTCCTCCTTGTCTTCCTCCTCCTCTTCCTCCTCCTCTCCCCCCCTCCTCCTCCTCCTCCTCCTCTTCTTCTTCCTTTTTCCCCCCTATGGGACTTATGCTACTCTAACATTCACCCCTCTGAAGAGGTAACCCTAAAATCATTTAAAGATTAGATACAAGCTTCCAAATACTTCATTTTTGGCCTTTGGAACAGAGTATATTGCTAAGAGGCCCAAGGACATTTTGAGTTTTAGCCAAGAAATTGGCTACTTTTCTTTGGGTTCTTTTTACCCTAACTACCTAACCAGTTCTTACCTCCTATTCTTATTACACCATCCTCTGAAGAGGTTACCCAAATTGACAATAGGGAATATGGACACAGACTGCTCTGGCTTCTTCCATGCTGAACAGGGATGCAGGGTGAGGCAACTGGAGTACCCCTTCAGTGGGTCTATCTAAAAGACTCCCAGATTGTGTAACTCTTATCTCTAAGGGGAGAAGAAAGTCCTTGAATCACGAATAGGAGATGTGAAAGAGAAGTAAAGGCAAGACTAGACAGGGAACTAGAAAAAATTCAGAACAGGGCAATTTTCAAATGTTCTTATGAGTCCATTGGAATTTCTTGACAAGGGCTTTCAAAAGCATCCCTCTATTGGGTTCCTCCTCATTTTTCTTTTGTCTTCCGAGGCTGGACTCTAGAGTGATGGATTCAGGATTTGCTTTCAAGTATTTTGATGGCTGTTGGAGTGGTTAGAATCAGTGTCAGTTCCCTCTCAAAGGCTTCTAGATGGGGGAGAAAACAAATTTATCAATTGTTTTAGAACAGTAGCTGGTGGTCTCCCTTAGCTACAGGCAGGCACTACAGTATTGGAGACCAAGATTTGAAGTCTTACATCTGAGCAGCACTTTCTGGTCAGGAACAAAATCATCAATGAGAAATTGTCTAAATAACTTTTTATATGGACTTAAGCCTAATGTCTGGGTAGTATAATCCCTTAGAAATAAACGGATCACTTTACTTTTTGGTTATACTTTTCTTTTGGGTATTTAAGACCATACAGTTGGTCCAAATAAATCAATTTTTTTTTACGCTTAAGGTCATTTTGAGGATCTGTTCCTCAGGGGTCACATGGGCTTGGGAGGAGCCACTAGCTCCTTTCTTTTACCAGTTCCATCTATGTGAAGATAAGTCAAAGGTCCTGCTCAACCATGGCTGGCTTCACTTTTAAGCATGGAAGAAATGTTTTCCCTGGTTTGACCCTCCTCTTTGTAGACTGGACACTGTTCAAGTCTATCTGGTGGGGTTTCTATGGCTTCCCTGAACAAGAGGACAGGTAACTCACAAAGTTACATGACATTTTGAGAGATGTTCCATAGTTCCATGGAACTTAGTTGACCTTGGAGGGCAAGGGGCAAAAACTGTCCTTTTAAGTCCTTCTGGACAGGTTAGTATAGGCCTCAAAGTATGGCTGTTAAACATCCAATAAGGTTATTTCCACCAGTCTGGTACTTTTAATTACCATGTGCTATGTAGATAAAGTGTGGGTTAAAAAACCAAATGTTCTCAAATAAACCTTGAATAGATATATATTTTGC